GAATTGCGGAATAAAAATGTATGAGAAGTAATGTAAATAAATGTAAATAAACTTAAGAGATATAGGACATAATATTGTTAAGGGAAAAGAAAAAACGTATTTTGTATTATGTTTGTAAAGAAAAAAAAGGAAAAATATTTTTTTTAAAAAAAAGAAATACACAATTTAACCAAGCGCGCATAAATATACAGGATTGTATCCTTAAAGAATTGTCAGAGAACTCTTGTTATTAACAAGGCAAGGTATTAAGGCTGATAATAGATTGTGCATAAATATATACCTGTTATATTCTTGGACAATGAAAAAGAATATAGAAAGATCTAAATCAGTTTACTTTTAAGGACTGAAGTAGACCTCTTGAAATCTCAGCAGCTGGATTTTTTCTTTAAAGACACTTTCTTAATAATATAACTTATTAAACACTTATTCAATTCTTTTATGTTTTCTGGTTACATATAATAACCATGTTTTATATATTACATGTAGTGAAATTCTTATATTTCTCAAGCAACTATAAATTCTATCCCGGACTCACCAATCAATGATATCTAGATGTATTGGACTAAAACTCCAGAAATATAATATGTGGGGAATTCAGGAAAGGTGAGTCAATCCAGTGTCAGTTTACAAAGTAAATCAAAATAGTTACATACAAAGAATATATGTATTTCTAAAGCATATTCTTTGTATGTAACTATATCTAATATATACTTTGCAGAGTAACCATGATAAGCCCAGTTAAGATGAAAAGGCAAAATGCAATTGCATTTAAAACTTTCCCCCACCCAGAACTTACCTACCAAGTTGAGAAATGTATTTATTTGCTTATTTATTTATCAATTTTGTAGGGGAATATATTAGTACACTTTTTTCAGTTGTTCCCTACTGATTGGACATTACATTTGCTTATGCATATATTATGATTTTGTTTCAGATATGAATTAACTACAATTAATACTTTAGGAAATGGATAATTTGTTCATTTTAAGTTATTTTTTGTTTATTTTAGAAGCCATAGATTTTTGCTGTTGTTGCTATTTTCAGATCTGCTTGAAAACTAATTAAAAAATAAAAGCATCATGGTTTCTTTCAATTTAAACAATTTTGTAAGAATATTTTCTAGACAGCATGATTTTTGAAAGTGGTTTTCTCCTAAGTTGGCATATTTATCTGTACTTTTTTCTAATTGACACAATTTTATATGCATTTTTATTTATATTTGTATGCATTTTATAAACTACACATTGTGTTACAAGATTATGAAAAATAGAGATAAGTAAACAAGTGAATGTTTTTCCAGAAGAATCACATAAGATTCAGTTATTTTAAAAAAACAAACTAGCTGAAGAATTTCTTCATTTCTAGGAATCAGATGAGCCAAATTTCAGTTTTTCAGCTGTTCACAGGAATCTGCCATTGTCCATAGTGCCACACTGTGATCCATTAATAAAAATATAATAAGAGGGATTGGAAAAATCATATGCTAAGTTGATTGATGTGTGTCAAGTGAAGAATATTTTGGATGTCTCAATATGTGTCTACTCACATATGCCTCTTATAGTAGGTTCTTTTCAATGTCTTGCTCCACTAATATGTACATACAATGCCTGACATAATGGGTTTTTTTTTTTTCATTTTTGTGTGTGGACTCTTGGTGCTGCTGCAGAGTACTGTAAATGACAAGAGTCTCAGCAAAGAGGAAGGTTGCCTTGGTGATGTTCCTGAGGTTAAGGTCACTTTCCATTTTCAAAGACAGCCAAGGTGGTGATGTGATAGATTTGAGTGATATTTGTGGGAGTGGTGAAAAGGGAGCTGCTGACAGGGTTGCGCTCCTAGTTCTTCTCCCCAGAAAAGATTTTTTTTGTTCTTTTCAAAACATCTTGATCCTAGTGAAAATTAAATTACAAGCTTAGACTCTGTTTACTTTTAATCATATAGGAACATGACCTATATTTTTTCTACTTTTCTATTTCCCTCTAGTACTATATATTAATTTCCTTGGAAATAAACAGCTCAAGCAAGAAAATCTTGTATAGGTTTCTATAATGAGTTGAATAAATAGATGTTATTAGAATCTCCATGAATGGGATCACCTGAAACAGAAACTGATACCATTTACAGCAGGGGTGTTAAACTGCCGGCCCGTGGGCTGGACGCGTCATGAGGAAACTGTGCCCACCCTATTTCCGGCAACGGGGGGAAAAATTCCAATACGTCACACACATCATGTGACGTTGCGAGTTTGACATGTCTGATTTACAGAATACTTGGTGAATTCCATAGAATGTCTCCAAACTCTTAACAACCTGCTTATACTTTAATTGCTTGATGAATCTTGCTTTGCTTAAGCAATTTTTAAGTAATTAAAAAAACACAGAACCAAATGTATTTGAAAAAAATAAGGGCACAAAAGCATTGTTTAACAAAATAGGAGCTATTTGTGCAAGTGGTGGGAAGCCACCTCTATTTGTGTAAAACTCTTGACATATGTTCATTTCATTGAAATCACCAAGGGCAAAACCAATTAGTTGTCCATTCAAAATATCTTTATTGGGCTCTTTCACATTTGAGCAAAAGGTTTTCCTGTATTAATGTTCAAACCCTGGAAGCTTTAAATGTTTGTGTGAGCACTAATTTTCTTTGAGTATGATACTTACCACTATCAATTTTATGATACCAAAAAACCAACTTCCTTGATGGTAAGCATATGGGGCATTTTTGCTCTTCTGTAGAGTTTTTTATATCTCATATCTGCAATACTACAGATAAATTTACATTAGTTAGCCTTTAATGAAAATACTTTTGAAAATGAAAAATTGTATTGATTATTTGCATGAAAAAAGACTTAACCTCCAGCCAAATTTAAAATATTTCTGTACCAACCATGAGACAAGAAACATCAAAAATTCACTATATGGTAAAGGTCAAATACTACGATAACGGATCAGAGTTTTAATCTTTAGTGTAGGTTTCTCCAGCCGAATGTCTGCCACGTATATTGGATTACAGTTTTCATAATCTCCATCCAGTTGGTGGGTGCAACTATGGAGGTATATGTCAGAACTTCTGCAAAACGCCAGGTTTTGGGCGGGGGAATTTAGGTATGGACATGTTTTTAGACCCTAAGGACTGCACTATGCTTTCAGCTAAAGAAAGGGGAGAAGACCATTGTAGATGGGAAAGTGACACACAATGACTGGGGATGGAAAGGGAATGAATTAGAGTTGCCAGGGATTCTTGAGAGGGGCTTGTGCGGAATTTAGTGGAGACTTACAAGCAGATATCTACTGAAGAAGCTGGGTAGCTTCAGCTGTGGTTTAATTAGATGTTCTTGCGAAAAGAGGCATGTCTCTAGTTCTTGCTATTTTTAGGTATGAGATAATGGGAGAAGTCATTAGTTCTTAGTAAGAGCACGACCTAAATAATATGAAACAAAGGATCTTGAAAGATTAACCAGAATATGTGCCTCTTATATTACATGTATATGCAGAGTTATAAATCAACTATTTGCACATATCCCATAGACTACGAATAATCCTCATTTGATGACCATAAATGGGACCAACAACTTGATCATTAAGTGACGTGGTCACTAAGTAAACTCACTGTGCTTATAATTTTACTTCACTTTCTTTTGCCGTACAGGCCTACAAAGGTCATAAATGCAAGGATTGGTAATAAAGATACTTTTTTCATCATTGCCATAACTGTGAACTAAGTGAGGATTACCATATATACATTGCATGCAGTATGTGAAAATGTCTTCAGTTTGGAAGCATTCAAGTAGTCTTTGACTTATGACCATAATTGAGCCCTGAATTATGGTTATCAGTCATGCTGGATGTTAAGTGGTTGTAACCATGCTCAATTTTATGGCCTTTTTGGTGGTCATTAAGCAAATGGGACAGTCATAAAACAAATGCTATGGCCATTAAACAAACGTATTGTCTGCAATGGGCATTTCTAGGTTCCAGGTCATGTGATCATGGGTCACTGCAAACAACTGTAAATATGGGCTGGTTGCTGAGTGTCCAAAAGGTAATCACATGACTATGTGGGGGATGGCTGTTGAAACTTCAAATCCAGGTCATAAGTACCTTTTTAGAGGTCCATTATAACTGAACAGTCATTGAGCAATCAGTCATATATCAAGGACTATGTGTATACAAATAACAATTAAACAAAACTAAATATAATTTATTTTAAGCATAATTTTCCTTCTGTACTTCCTCAACATTACTGTTTTTCCTTGCTTTTGGGGTGGGGATAAACTTTCTTGTATCTGCTTATGAACATACAAATATAGATATATAGATAGATACAATTATCTTAGATATAGATAGATGATATAAATATAGATTATAGATATAGATAAGATATAGATATGTTTATCCTATTTTATGTCTTTAAAGCTGTGGATATTTTCCATTTTGCAGAAAATGGTAGACCATTTTTCCTCCTTTTTAAATATTTTGGTGGTGGAACCTATATTTTCAACTATGGTCTCATTGTGATGTATCTTAGAAAAGGATCAGCAGTCCTGGTCACTGTTTAACATTAGTCTTACTTTTACATGGCACATAACTGGAATTCAACTGTCTGAAAAGCAAGAATTTTGCATACTGAGCACAATTATACTTCCAGTATAAATAATGTTGCAGCCATTGTATGATGAAGAAATAAACAAACCAGTAGCTTCTACTTTCTTTGCAGAGATGACCTTGGAAAAGATTAGAATTTACTTATTCCAGAAGTTGAACATCTGATGTGCCAGTGCAGTTTCAACTGCTAGTTAAATTGGAAAGTGCTTCTGGTGCCCTCTCATTTCATGGCAGATTAAATATTTTATGTATTTCTACAATTTGCATTAAAAGCATCCCTGAAGTGTTAGATGATGTCAATCTCTTGAAATGGTTTAGTTGTGTGTCATCTGGAATGTTTCCCATGCCAGCCTTTCCTACTTACAATCATTCTGGTTTGTGTGTTCCTTTTCACTACAGAGACGCTGAACTTGGCATCTCCTTCTGTAAAGCTGGAAGAGGTTATTCATTTAGCAGAGCTCTGCATTGAAGTCCTGCAGCAGAATGAAGAACATCATTCAGAGGTGAGGATAACTGTATTAGCTGCACAATAATGCTTTAATAACTACCCTGCACTGCCTCGGTGTGAAGCAGTTCTGTCAAAAAACATTACAGAAAGAACTTCTAATATATGTTAAAAGCAATTTACATTTGCAGCGTTCTCAGAGTTGTGAAGGGCTTGAAAAATCAAGTGAAATAAAGCCCTGCTCCATTTTTATTTTATTTTATTTTTGTTTCAGGTTTGAATAGTTAAAAAAGAAAAAAGACATAAATGCTGGGGGGGGGGGATATAAGAGCAAAGAAGAGATGGTGCTAGCCATTATCTCACAAATAATTCTCCAGATTCTCATCTAAATAAAAATAAGCACCATACAGCAATAAAAATAGAAATGCTTTCTGTTTTAATGTAGATACACGGATTAAATAAGAGGGCCATGTTTCGTACGCTTTCCTCTTAGTTTGGCTATTATTATTTTTTCTTTTTAAGAAGGATAACAATAACAACAACAACAATAATACTGCTACAGTCCACATGAAAGTTTTGGGGAGCCCTATTAGTGAAGTCATCTGAACAAGTCTTCTATTCAGCGACAAACCTTTGTTATTTGGGGAGGACAGAAGCTGAAGCCAATTCCCAAATCTCCACAGTTGAACACAGGGGTTTTGTATTAATAAAAAAGTTTTTTTATTAAATACAGTGAACAAATAAAGTTTATAGAATTGCATTAATATTCATACTGACATTTTAAAAGTTTGATGAACTAGCCTTATTGAAGCATAAATCTACTGGAAATTCATATTTTAACATAAAAACTGTTATATATATTTTTTTCTTCAGCGGAGATACACAAAGTAGTAACTAAGATGTAATGTCTATAAATATGATCATTCAAAACATCTGCTTTTATCTCACACTGTCAGTTCTAGATTTTAGCTTACATCTGTCATGTGTGAACTTGTTATGGATATTTTATTTTATCCTGAAGAAACAGCTGCTTCAAAGATTTGAAATTAATTCCCAAGAGGCACTCTACAATGGTATTGCCATTGTAAATACTTAATAATGCTTATATGTGAATTTCTCTTTTGAAAATATATATTTAAATTAAAATTACTAGAAATTGCAGTAATTATGATTGAAAAAGTACATTCTTAATATTTAGTTTTAAAAGTACATTCTTAATATTTAGTTTAGTTTGTCCATTATATACTTTTCCTTCTGCAAAATAGAAATGTAACTAGAGACATAGTAGCTGACAGTTTATTTCTAACACATTTAAATGCATCAGTAGAATGCTGATTTTTTAAGTATATAGTATATTGTGCCTCAGTTCAAACATTATATACTTGAGAGTAAGCATATATCTAAAAATTGTATAATGATACAAAAATGGAGACAAAGGACGTGCATCTTGCTAAGTTCAAAACATTTTTAACTTTTTTTTTCTCCTGTTCCACAACATTTCCAAAATTATGGATTACCCCAGGGAAAAGAGGTATGTTATTCATCCCAATCAAAACTGACATTTTGATCATGATTCCATGCATTGTTAAACCATTTTGAATGTATGGCATCAATTATTTTCTCTGATGGCATTCACTTTATTTATTTGTGGCATTAATTATTTCATCTGTATTATCTTTTATCTTTTTAAAATTATACCTGGTCCAACAGAAAGCTGATTAAAAGTAGATATCAGACAGATTTAACTTAAAGAGTTTCTTCTACCAGCTTTGAACAAGTACAAGTGGAATAATTTTCATCTAACTCATAAAGTTATACATTCGAGACTATAAAATACGTGTGACAAATAGAGAACTTTTCCGGGTCAATGTCAACCAAATAGGTATCCTCTGGCTCATACAGAATACCAATGTTTTGCTGGCATCTTCTAATATGGCTGCAGTTCATGCATCTACTCAACAATATGGACACAAACATCCAAAAATTATCTGGCGAGCTCTTTTACTCTGAAATATTAGTCCTATTGCAAGTTCTTTGAGGACAGGATAGAAAAAGAAGATAAAAGCCTATGCAGTTCAGTCTTGGACAGAACATCACTAATTGAGCCACTGCTGAATATTGCAATGTTATAATTCAGTAGTACAGGAAACATATGTTGCTTTATTGTATAATATAAATTAGAAATAATAGTCATGTAATATAACAAATAAGACTTTCAACTCATACAATATTTTTTTCTTCTTCCACTTGGAATCTGTGTGATTAATCAGTAACTGAATTCATTTTTCCTGTTGTTTTATATTATTTTTGACAGAACCATGCTCTCTGTGATATTAATCTTTCTTCATGACTTTACTCCCAGGCACCAGTAGATCAGGGTATGATTAAGAGACTCAGGAAATTTCTACTTTTGCTATTGAATGTGATTTATTGGAATTTGCCATGCATTACTTTTTTCAACTTATTTTCATTTTAATATTATTTTATCTTTGCTAGTTGGAAGGAAATTCTGATCTCTGAGTTTCACAGGGTTATAATTATTAATTACAATAAGTTGTTTTTTCCCATTACCTTTTGAAAGAACTAGACAATGATCAAAAACTGGTCTCAATCTCAGGATTAGCAATCAACACGATTATCCTTTTATATGCAGTTATTCTCTTCATATAAAAAAAAACTATCAGAACATAAAAAGTACTGAAGATATCTTAATGCTTTGGGGTTTTTTCCCACTTATGAAGATTTTTACGTATTTCAATTTAACAGAGATACCACAGAGTTTTTTTACAAAAGCAAGTACAAATTTATATAAAGTTGATTCATGTATGCAGGAAGTTAAAAACCCAATTTAATATTAAATTGTTAAAAAAACATTGAGCTGTTTTCTTCAATCATAGCATTTAGATAGTATTAGTTGTTAATGTAACTATCCAATTGTATGTCTGATATATTTAGAGACACTTTTAGGCTTGCAATTTTAAAGAGAAATGTTTACTTTATATGTTAGATGGTGAATGTCCTTTTTTCATCTGAAATCATTTTGAAGACAGAGTCTTCATGCTTTTTCTCATAGGATGCCATATCTCTTACACTGGCTTTAATATTTATAAGTACATCTACAGTAACATGAAAGACCAGATTCCCAGATATCAGGGGAAAATAATCAGGTCCCTAGATTATCTGTCAATCAAATTATTTAACACTCTCACTGAAGTATTATATACACATGCAAATTACATTGGATGCAAAATTCAACTTTACTTAATGAAGAATTTCAATTGTTTTTAAAAATGTATACCACATTCCATAATTTCATAGATGTACCATTTTTATGCCTTCTTTCATCATGTCTTTTTTTTTAATTGATGATGCAGGCCTTTGCGTGGTGGCCAGATCTGTTGGCTGAACATGGGGAGAAGTTTTGGTCACTTTTTACTGTTGACATGGATTCTGCGCTGGAGACACAGCCACAGGATAGCTGGGATAGCTTTCCTCTTTTCCAGTTACTCAATAACTTCCTGAGAAATGACTGTAAGTTTGGTATTTGGTTATTGCTATAGTTGCAGTTACTTTCAATTTTTAAATCTTTTAAGATTTAAGAAAGTTGAGGGTAGCTTAGAGTCTTTAGCTTCATTTATTTAACCTTGTGCTTTTTCTAGATTTGTTAACGATGCAATCCTAAGCACAGGGAAGTAAATCCTGCTGTGTTCAGTGGGATTTATTTCAGAATAAACATACAAGACCTTGAGCAACAAGGCAAATATTAATAGATTTTAGATGAAGGTTGAAATTCTTTTGCTTTACATTGCAGGTAGCACATGGCTTCTTTGTAGACAGGGAAACAGATTGGCATTAGCAACTTTCTTGTAATCCCAAGAAATACAGTAGAGATCCTTGCTCACATTTCATCTCCACCAAAGAGCATTTAAACTACAATTAGAACTATTTTTCCTCTAGACATTTAACATTGAACAATCCAAAGAAATATAAGAGACGTTCTTGTTGTTTCATAAAAAGCTTTTGAGTTTTATTTCTCTCTCAAATTTATTTTTGTAGCTTCTCAAATATATTTCTAAATGTTTACATGGATCCAGATATAATGCATCATACATGCAACTGTTTGTTTCTTACTGACTGCAGGCAAGAATCTGTGATTACAGCTGACAGTGACTTTAGTTTAAGTGAGTTTACAATGTAAACAATTGTAACAAAAAAAAACTTACCTGTACATGATTTTTTTTTATGATGAGAAGCAGAAATTTTTAAGGTGAGAAGTCCTTTAAACTTAGAAGGCTCTAATAATCAGTGTTTCCCATGATACCCAAACTATAAAGCTATAAGATGTTCTCTGAGCCTGGTTTTTTTCTTGCAGACATTTCATTACCAAAACTAAGTAACATCATCAATGCTGGGAGGAAGTGGAGTTTGCTCTTGTTTTATATTCTAATGTAGACATGTCAAACATAAAATAAGGCCCACGAGCCGGATGCGGTCCGGGGAGGGGCCAGATTTGGCCCCCCGGGGCTGTCCCAGAAATGGCAAGGGGCCGGCCCCAGCTGCCCCAGCCCTGGCCCACTGCAACCCAGCTGGGCCTCAGGAGCTGGTGGTGTGCAGCAGCAGCTCCTCCCCTCCCAGCTTAACCCTGTCATGCCCAGCCATACCCCACTTTGCTGGACTTCTCCTCATGTGGCTCTGCTTTGCCAGGCCAGAAAGGGTGAGAAGGAAAAGAAAGCAGGAAGGATTACTATGTATGTCTGTGTGTGTGTGTGTGTGTGTGTGTGTGTGAGGAAGAGAGACAGAGATATGGAGAGAGAGAGAGAGACAGACAGACAGACAGACAGACAGGAGTGGAAGAGGAGGAAGCGGAGGAAGCTAAGGTGTTACAAAAAAGGAGAGCTTCCCCCATTCTTCCACCCTTTCTCTTTTTTTCCTCCATTCCATTCAGGTGCAGCTGAGGAAAAGGAGGAGGAGAAAACGGGAAGTGTGTGTGTGTGTGTGAGAGAGAGAGAGAGAGAGAGAGAGAGAGAGAGAGAGAGTGAGAGAGAGAGAGGAAGGAGGGGAACAGGAGGAGGAAGCCGAAATTTTATAAAAAAAGAGAGCTTCCACCTTTTTCCCCCTCCTTCTCTTTTTTATTAACGTGTGTGTGTGTGTGTGTGTGTGTGTGTGTGTGTGTGTGAGAGAGAGAGAGAGAGAGAGAGAGAGAGAGAGAGAGAGAGAGAGAGCCAGCAGGAAGTTGCAGAGTAAGCAAACTTACAAAAAGGGGATCTCTCTCTCTGTCTCTCACACACATACACACATACACGGGAAGGTGGTGTGCAGTCAGGTGAGAGAGCAAACTTGCAGAATAACTTTGTGATCTATTCTTGCCTCCTCCCCTCCCTAAAATCCAGGCAATAATAAAACTCTTTGGATTGAATGGGAAGTTAGGAATTGGTGTGAGTTGAAATTAAAAGGCCGAGTCAACTCCCCCCCCCCCAATTATTTTGTCAGAGACAAAAATACTTCCCTTCATCTGCTCTTTTATAATTTAATCCAGCCTTACCCAAATTAATATATTTTGGGTGTCATGAACCACAGTTCCCATCATCCTATGACTATTCTGGCTAGAAATGCAATGCCTTATTTTCTCTGCAGTATGCGCCTAGGAGGCAGTAGGTCTGTGGGATTTAGATGTATTTAAACATTTGCTTCTTCTGCCTAATTTATTAAATCAACATCTAATTTGAAATTAAAAGTTTCTGAGAAATCCAGGGTGATTTACAAGAAAACTCTCAAAGATAGTTATTTTAAAGCATCACTAGCACTGATTAAAACAATATTAAAAGTGTGTATTTTAAGAAAGAAAAATAGTAGTAGTAATTTACTTAGTGCTGTTTGACCATAAAATGTGTTGTTGTTCTACGTATGCCTGGCTCAACAGTGTGTTTGGAGTTGTCTCTAAACAGGTGAGGGTTGCACTATTCATATTTTCCTTGGGAGAAAGTTCTATAATCGGGGTGCTGTCTCTGAGAAGGCTGTGCTTGTGGCCACTGTTCTATAAACCAAATCCGGGGAACCCTCTGGTCTAAATGGATAGTAAACATAGATGATTAGGGGGCCGGAGGCTAAAACATATGACAAATGTTTGTGGGAATTGGGTATGTCTAGCTTAGTGAAAAGGACTAGGGGTGGTGACATGATAACAGTGTTCCAATATTTGATGAGCTGCCACAGAGAAGAAGGGGTCAACCTATTTTCCAAAGCATCAGAAGGCAAATAATAGATGGAAAATAATCAAGAAGAAAACCAGCCTAAAACTAAGGACTTGTGAAAACAACCAACCAGTGAAAAGGCTTGCCTTCAGAAGTTGTGGATGCTCCATCACTGGAGGCTTTTAGTAGAGATTGGATATTCCATTGTCTGGAATGATATAGGTCCCCTGCTTGAACAGGAGCTTGGACTAAAGACCTCAAAAGTCTCTTCCAACTCTTATTCTTTGAGAGAAGTGCTGCCAATCTCTACCCCTCTCCTCGTCCCTTCCTGGGCACAGAGAGAAGGAGGGGAGGAAGGAGGGGAGGGAAACAGGAAGAAAGTAAGGGAAGGAAGGAGATGGGAATGAAAAGGAGGGAGGCAGGGAAGAAGGGGAGGGAGGAAGGAAGGAAGGAAAGAAGGAAAGAAAGAGAAGAAAGGAACAAAAGGAAGAAAGAAAGGAGGGAGGGAGGAAGGAAGGAAGGAAGGAAGCAAGCCCTGTTGCCCTTTTGCCTTCCGCTGGTGGTCTCCCATCCTATTGCTGAGCATGCTTTGGTTACAAAGCCAGGTTTCCTTGCATGGAGAGGGAGTGGGCCTCCCTCTGATCCATGCACTTTGCACCCACCATGAACAACCTGGCCAAGGAGAGTGAGCCCAGCAGCAGCAGCATTGAGGAGGAGGTAAGTGCAGCTGGGCGCCCCCTCAGGGAAGTGCAGCTAGGCTAGGCAGGGTTGTGGGGTCCTGATGCTGTGGAAGCTCAAGGGCTGGGCCGGGCGCTTGACCTGCGCTGCCCAGGGCTCTGGGCAGTCCATGCCACTGTCCAGGGGCCCCATGCACAGCCTGAGGCTCAGTGAGGCTTCTCCAGTGGACCATGTCCCACCCATCCTTCTCCATCCTCAGATGCGCCCCATTCCTGCCCAGGCCCGCACAGGTGCCCCTGAGGTGAGTGACATGGAGCTGGCCACACCTACCCAGTGGGCCACGCCCATGCCAGTCACATCCACCTGGCCCCCCAATGGCAACCACGATGCTGATGCGGCCCTCAATGAAATTGAGTTTGATACCCCTGTTCTAATGGCTTGCCCTGTCAGTGTTGATGAGAGTGGTCTAGATCAGGGGTCCCCAACCGCCGGTCTGTGGACCAGTACCAGGCTGCGGCATGCCAGCAACCAGGCCATACAAACAAACAAAGCCCCATCCACAAGATGCAGGCAACACACAAAACCACATGCCCTCTGGTCCATGGAAAAACCTCTCTCCACAGAACCGGTCCCAGGCGCCCCAAAAGTTGGGGACCTCTGGTCTAGATAGTTATTTGGTTGGGCTGTTTAAAGTTAGCTAGTTTGGCAGTTCTTTGATTGAGGTATTCCTTGCTACTTGATTGTTAGTCTAATGTCAATCTTGGGGTTAATCTCTGCTAATCTGGGTGTTGATTGCTTGTGATGAGGTATTTTGGTCTTTTTGTTTCCTTTTTGGCTTGTTGATTGTCTTTTTTGAATGATATGTAGATGTTGTTTATGTCTATGTGCCTGTTGATGGCCAATTTGTCAGGCTTCCAGAAATTCTCTAGCATTTTTGGACTTGGTTTGGTCTAGGATATTCACATTTTCCTAGTTGAAATTATTGTTAAGTCTGTCCATGTATTGTGAAATTAAGGAGTTTTCATCGTGTATTCTGACTGCTACTAAATATTCATGGATGCTCTCTGCTAGTCATTTCTATTACAAAACTATGTTTCCAAGCTCAGAATAACCCAGATTTATAATTATGGTTACATGATGATTTATGATGTTTACATTCTGAACCTGGCAACCATCATTTTCCAAAAGGTGAAATGGGAGAGTCTGCTCAACTAGGGCTTTCAACATCCACTGCGAGCACAAAAAGAAGAGGGGAATTGGCTACATATGTAGCAAAGGACACTCTGCATATCATAACTTAAATTATAATATGGTTTTCCTAGTTTATTAATGAGAAATATTTTTGCAGAAAATTTTGCATTTGGTCATACAATCATATCCTTAGAACCATGAATCATTGTAGAAATTGCTCAGCTCGAAAGCAGAAATGGGGACAGGATTGGTATGGTGGGGAAGGAGTATATTTTTAAATGTTTAATAAATGTAGCAGCTGCTACAAGAGATAGCTGCAAGATTGGGTGCAACTTTGCAGTCTAAGCTTTGGCCTTTTTGTACATGTGTCAGTCTTTCTAAAGCATAGATCACAATGCTACATCCGCCATTTTGTGAATTTTTTGACACAGCCATACACACCCAGGATACACCTAAAAAATACCCATGAGT